TGTAAGTAATATACGAATGTTACACGTTTTTAGCAAGTACTAAGTGATTTTTTCTTCTGTGCAGAATATTTTTAAAAAAATTTATGGTTTACATTTTTTACATGGGTGTACAAGCTTTATGAAGATGTAGTCAGTAGGTATGCACCGGTATCGGTATGTATACCGAAATATCGATACCGAAAATATCAATTGTTTTTGAATTTTTCATTTGAAATGAGATATTTTAGCGTCCTGGACACATAGAAAGAATCAGGAACACAAAATAAGAGCTTTATTTGCTTTCTGAATCCAAAATTTTTCTTTTTTTTCTATTTACATATGCTCAGAACACACAGCTGAATGTTTTTTATCCGTTCTACCTGTCCAGGACGCTAAAATATCTCATTTCAAATGAAAAAGTCCTAGTAAAAAAAGTTGATATTTTCGGTATCCAGTATACCGGTGCATCCTTATTGGTAATACCTACTAGTACATATGTATTTTTCTGTTGTTTTCAAAAACTATATCCGCTTCTTCATCCATCCATGCTCATAGTCAATTGTTTGAATTATTTTCTTCGTATAATTGAGGACGCAAGGGGGCATGCACAGAGATCAAATTATGTGTAAAAAATCCGACAATGAACACTTTAAAAAATCATCGATGTGAAAAAACTATTGAATTATCATAATAACTTTCACTACTGGTACAGTAGATAAAGCTTTCTTTATACATAGACGGGTAGAAAAATAAATCTATTTAAAGAATAGATATGAAAGCACGAACCTAATTGTGTCCTATTCACTACAGTCTAATATACGTTGTAAAGAATAAACAAAAATGTTCTTTTTACAGTTCAAACGGAAAAAGAAAGGAAATGAGAGCTCAACATTTTAGATCAAGGCTTTTGAAATTCTCGTGCAAAAGAACGTGAACAGGCTGATATTTTTCTTCATGCTTTGAAAACCTTTCTGTTACATTAACTATTCTAACAAGAACATTTATTTGTTTAGCTCTTACTACATAAATTTTATTGACTAACGAGGGACCTTTCCAACTATCTAATCGCTTTCTGGTCGAAACCTAGGGGGTTATCAACCATGCTGACGCCGAATATCCATATGAGATGAGCCGCTAGGCCTTCCTAGAGCCGTTTTTCAGAAACCTCAAAAAGTGCCTAAAATTTTCTCTTAACAGATCACGATTGTAGTCCACGAAAGTCTGATCAAAATGAGACATCTCTGACCTCTACACGATCTTTCTTTGCAAAGTTATAGAATTTACAAGAAAAGCCCTAAATTAATTTCCTTATTTCTGTATCTTTGAGGTGACCATGAACATTTAGGGCTTCTCTTGTAAATTCTATAACTTTACAAACAAAGAGCATGTAGAGGTGGGAGATGTCTCATTTTGATCAAACTTTCGTGGACTACAATCGTGATCTGTTAAGAGAAAATTTTAGGGACTTTTCGAGGTTTCTGAAAAACCACTCTAGGAAGGCCTAGAAGCCCGTCTCATATGAATATTCGGAATCAACGTGGTCGATAATCTATAACACCCTAGGTTTCGACCAGAAATGGATTAGACAGTTGGAAAAAGGTCCCTCGTAAGATCTATACACTAAGAAATCGTTTGTATCTCTTCAACAGGTTTATAATATATACTACATACTGATAGTATTCTCTATAAAATATGTAGAAGACACCCTTTTCCACATTTAATCAAATAAATGGTCTACAACGTAGCAGAAAGATAGTATACAAACTATTATACTTTACTTTCCATCTAGTTTTTCGATGAGTAAATCAAGTCAAATAATTTTGAAGGTAATAATATGTATGAATGAATTAACGAGATTTGCACTGTCTCTGTCTACTATTTTGCGAAATAAGATTGCTTCAAACCCGAGTTAGTTTACACCTGTCAGCAGTGTGTCTCTCTCGAATGAACATACTAATCTGTAGCGATACTGTTTTGCAACTGAATACAGTGACCACAACTATTTGAATGTATAATCTGTACATAATGACAGACGGTAAGAACACATAGGCTTGGCAACAGATCCTCTCTGATCAGTTGATCTGTGTGAATATAAGGTGAGGTATATACTCGATTGTTTTTTGACTTTAAGAATCTCTTTGAGATTTCTATGATTATTCTCCAGAAAAAAATTTATTACGATTGAAAAAATATCTTTTTGTTTATATGCGCAACTTATGTTCTCTTAAGTGAAGATAAAAGTAGTTCATATTAAATAATTACGCCTCTAATTAAACACGTAGTCTTTTTATCGTATACTCTTAAAAAGAAATTGTAGAACTGATTGTGGGTGGCAAACAAATAGTAATTTTGTTTGTTTCATATTTAATAATTACATATCTATTGTATGATATTTGACATTTTCGAAGGATTATTTAATTATATACTTTACAAACATTATAAAAGTAGATGGTAGATATATTAAATAACTTTATAAGGAGGCGTCCTGTACGTCGATTGAATACTTGAAGATGAAAAATTGTATATGCATGATCTATCTTTTAGAGTTATGCTTAAATATAAAACTAAATTTTGATAGTATATGTATGAACCCTTAAGAAAAAAAGAGACAAAAGTCACGCAACAATGGTGTATTTCTGCTGTTAAATGAACATAAATTAGAATTAAGTGGTGATGAGAGAAAATTAAAAAGAAGAAATTATTTTTTTTTTTTTTCTATGGCAGAAATATTTTTTACATTATTACTAGAATACAAAAGAAAAGAAAATGGTTGGAATATTTAATGAACAGTACTATTTTTTTAAATTAAATAAATTAAAATTAAATTAATTAGGAACGTTTCTCAGAATGCTTTTCTTCACACTTAAAATTAATCGTGATCAAACTTTCGAGGTGCATAGATTCTAGTGAGAAACGTATTAAAAAATTTGAAACAAAAATGTTCAGCCATTTATTTGAACTTTATATTTCATAACTTTTTTTCCTATACAGGAGGTCTCTTTAATTCCAATAAAAATCTATTCGCATTATTTTTTATGTCATAATCAGATTTTTCAAACAGAAAAAGAATCGTTAAGATGCTTGAAAACGTCCGATTTCATTTAGGTTTGTTTAGGGCCTTAACAGAATCTTGATAAATCTTATGACTTTCGAATACCTTTGATTTCATTCAGATTCTATAGAAATTTGTTAGAATCCTAAAAACTTCCGCGAAAATTTAGTAGGATTCTGATAGGATATGTGTGAGATCCTGTTAGTTTTTTACTAGAGTACTGTACAGTACGAGTTTTGTACTAAAATGTTCATTAATCTTGAACAAAATATCGTCTAGGCTTGATTTATACCATCTGATTTTAAAGAGTAGAGTCAGCTCTACAGCTCTGTATATAATTTGTTAATAAACTTTCATATATTCTTACTAATAATTCTATTTTGATTTCAGATTCTAGATGTAGACACTCGATGTAAGGTACTCGACTGGCTCATTATTTTAATACCGAAGTTTTATCAAAGAGTAATAGACATTATTGTGTATATGTACCGAGTTTTGAACTAATGAATGATCGATCTAATACAGATTATTGTATTATTCATTTTTTAAAAAGAAAATAGAAAACATCATTATTTAGATTGACAGTTGACATGAATGCCCTGCAAAAGTTCCAAATATATCATATCAAAAATGACTGTTAGTAAGACGTATCATATTTTTAATGTGTAAAAAGGTTTAAAAACTCTTCTAATTTATTACATTTTATGTGATCATAGTTCATGAAAAAAAGTGCTCTAAACCAGCGCACGTATCAGAAGAACATTGACGTACAGCTCACGTTCTGCACGTTTTTTCTCTTCATCAAATAGGATTTATAATCAGAATAAGAGAAGTAGATGGAAAGTTTTTGACTCAAGGTTGATATATGATCTCTTATGAGATGAATGAATAAAGTCAAACTATAGTAGGTATTCATCCAAAGAAAAGAAGACAAAATAGACATCTGCCATTATACAAAATTAAAAAGCGAATCTTTTATTACTCTATTGAACTTTCTACATCATAAAAAATACTCTACAATGTATTTCTTTTTTATGTAAAAAAAGTTTCTTGAGCTTGAAACTATTTGTTGAATTGAATTACAGAAATTTAAGCTTGACTTTTTCTCGTGAAGAACATAGAATTCGAGATTAAAAATTATTTTTGAAATAAAAAACATCAGTATATACACAAAATTTTATCTACTGATTCTCACGATGATGATGTAACATACTAATTAAAACACAAAACAGATGTAATTGAGATCTTACACTTTTAGAGATAATATAACAGAATTAAAAGTATAAAATTGTCGTAAATATTTTATTTTAAAAAAAGAAAAATTTAACAGAGTCATATCAAAAGTAAAAGTATTTTGCAAGACTTCCGATCTACTTTTATCATCAGATATATATGAGATAGCAACTTTTATCAATTTTTCTTTTTTCCGTTCCATTCGTGAATGTTTTACATGTGAAGAAAAACGTTTTACTCCATGTGAATAAAAGTTGCCTGCATCTATCTCATACATGTCTGATGATAAGAGTAGATCGGAAGTCTTGCAAAATGCTTTTACTTTTGATATAACTATGTCAAAATTTTTTTTTTTAAAAATAAAATATTTATAACAATTTAATTATCTTGTCTTGTATTAACCGTTGTGAAACTTATATTTCTACAGATATATTTTAAACTTTGTATGTCTTTAATTTTGCTCAATAATTCTGTTGTTGATGCAAGAGAGAATGAGAGAGAGAGAGAGAGAGAATTTATAGATAGTATCTTGTTTTTATGTTAATAATAAGATAAATATTCAAGTTTTATAAAAGAGATATTTCATCTCTTTATTTCTCTCTTTTTCAGAATTAACATCTATTTATTATCGTCGTTTATTATATGAAAATAATTATTTCAATGATATTATTTTGTTATATTTCCTTAAACTACATATGAAGTAGTGATAAATAAGAAAAAACAAAAGAAAAAAAAAATGCCATCGTCCGAGTAAGTTAACCATTTTAAACATGCTTACTCATTCTACGAATCTACTCTTTTAGACTTCTAAATAATCAAACAGTCACAACAAATGCCGGTGATATTCAGGCTGTTTGGATAACATTAGCATCATTCTATAAGATCATTTATCGTGGTTATTTTTCATTTCTCATTGTCTTTGGTACATCGTTTAATATTCTGACAGCTATTATATTATTACGTGAAAAATTACGACGTTTTTCAACATGTCGATATATGGCCGTTTGTTCATTATTAAATGCTGGTGTTTTACTAACAAATACATTATATATGACGTTGGTAATGGGATGGCAAATTAATTTACGTAGTTCAGTGTTATGGTGTCGGATTCACGTTTTCGTATCACAATGGTTTCGTGGCTTTGCCTCATGGATACTTGTTATCGTTGCCATTGATAGATATCAAGGTTCGAGAAATTTAAGACCAAGAACACAATCAAAAAATAATATTGTCACAATCACGTGTGTCATTGCTGGTGTAGCATTAGTTTTTCCAAATATTCATTATTTGTTACTAATTGGTGGTGTTGTAACGTTAAAAGCAGGTGATTTATCATATGAACATTACGCATGTTCATTTCATAAAAATTCCACCAATCCCATTCATAGATGGTTAGCATTATCAAATACTTGGTTGGAATTAATCACAATCATATTTATCGTAAGAATAAAAATTTTATCTAAGGAGGAAATATTGAGTTACAGCTTTGGATAGAGTGATTTTATCTTCTATATTATGAATATTAATTCGTAAAGTGTACCAGTTTTCATCTAAACATTCTAGAGTTTATAGTCTCGAATAGAATGTACTAATATATTGTACTATCATTGATCTACTCTCAGACTATAGAGACCTACTATTATACAAAAAATGATAGTATCAGCAACAAAAATAAAAAAAGTAATTTGTAAACTTATTTGGTTGGAATGAAAGATGAAAAGTCATTTATTGAGGTTACCACACTAAAAGGCGGTAGAGAGACAGAGGTGTTTAATTGTATGTCCTAATCCAAAAAGTGGATATTGTATTCTGCAGTAAGAGTGGTTTCGAGCTTTTTTTTTTTTTATTTGACTTTTACTGACAAACACAGGGCAGTAGAAAAGGTCTCAGACTGATTTATTTTAAAAAAAGTAAAAGGCTTTACAGCGTTGGTCTTGTTGTCTGTCTATAGGTCATACAGTCCTCTATCCATAGTTATTACGAGCCTTGATCGATCAAACATTTTTGTACAAAAATAACATTTTTTTTAGATCACATTTGAACAAATGGTGCAGATTAAATGACACTCAGTATTTTGTTTATAAGTTTTTTCTTTCATTTCCAAGGACCAAATTTTTTTTGCAAAATATGCGTTTTGAAATTCTCTCCAAAAAACATATTGAGCGTTTTGCTACAAAATGTAAGAGTCGAGCGTTATACGAATAATAGTGAAAAGTTCTAAAATGGGCAAAACTGCAACGCACTTTTTAGAGTATTCAAGTTTTCCGTTAAAGTACTTGAGCAGGTATCAAGATACACTTTGTAGCAAAACGCTCAATATGTTTTTTGTAGAAAATTTCAAGATGTATCTTTTTCAAAAAAGATTGATTCTTGACATTAAAAACTTTTTTGTTTTTTAAAAACATATCAATCTGGGAACTTTTTGAACACTCTACCAAGCAGAAGAAAAACGTACATCCGAGGCTTCCGAATTGAGACCACTTTTTGGTTAAAAATTATTAATTCGATTAGAAAAGTAGTCTCAATTCGGAAATGAGAATTTTAACAAATTAGTCATACTAATTAAGATTATATATAATCTTTCTGATAAAATATAAATTAGAATTATATGTTATATATCACACAAAAAGAAAGAAGTAAAACAATACGACGAAAGAGAACTGTATATCAATGACTTAGTTGATACTGCGATTACTAATCATTTTGTCAATGATGACCTATATTACTGTTGACTGCATCTGTATTTGCAGTGTTAATGAGTATTTGTCAAACGAAAATGAGCCTTTCCACTAGTATTTATGAATATACTCAGTCTAAAAAGTACGATTAGCGAGAAAGTACGAAAAAATTATTTCGATGGCAATTTAATTCTGAAAGATTTCCAAGCAATATTACGCTCATTAAGTTAGCGATATATGGACGTTCTTGACAATGATTCTGAAGAAAAAGATGACAATACATATGCATCTATTGTATAATTTGTATTTCTTCTTGTGATCTATAGTTTTTTTTATCTCTATATCTGTTTGTAATTGCTATGTATACGATATATAATAATGAAGATGAGAACGACAGACACCGCTTTAAGCATTTTGAGAACTTTATTCTAAGTACATCATCTTTTAAGATGATGTACCTAGAATACAGTACGAAACGTCTCAAAATGCTTAAAGCGGTGTCTATCGTTCTCATCTTCATTATTAAGTGTATTCACCGTATCCACAAAAATCAAAATGTTCAGATATATAATATGTTACATATAATCTTAATTAGTAGGACTAACTTGTTAAAATTTTCTATTCTGAATTGGGACCGCTTTTTCTTTCTATACACTGCGAAAAAAAAGTGCCCTTTGGTGAGGTTTAGGGCACATGAAAGTATCCTGTTTTTGTTTTCACGTTGACTATGGCGCACTTTCATGTGTCCTAAACCTCGCCAAAAGGCACTTTTTTTCGCAGTGTAGAAATTCTCATTTCCGAATTGAGACCACTTTTTTAATCCAATTAATAACTTTTAACCAAAAGTGGTCTCAATTCGGAAAGAGCCCGTACATCAACTGTAAGTGCAGCGAATTGAATGTTTATCAGAAAGATCTTTTATATACTAATTTTTTTTCAACGCTAAACATGGTGTTGTCACATGAAAATTATAGGATTAATAATCAGACCCGAAACAGTCTTGTCTGCTACAATAATTACTGCCAAATATTTTTAAGCACAGAAATTTATAAGATCCCGGTGAAAATGCACAATGGATCCTGTACAGGGTGGTAAATAATCAAGGGGGGGTAACGCTCTAATTCTAAATCGGAGATATGATGAATTTTATACCAAATGAAAGCCCGTGCAAAATGGGATTTAGTGATGCTAAATAGTAAGACTTTGAAGGACTTTCGTGCATTGAATTATCAAAAGTTACGACTTCTTATGGACACAAAATATTATAACGGGTGTGCCATAATAAACTGGACTAAATATTACTGCATATTATTCGTACTTTCTCTTCAAATAAAAAGTTCCTTTATATACCAAAAGAAAGAAAATTGAATTCTCTACAAAACCTACTATCTGAATCTCAGAGAGCATTTTTCTTGTTTGAGCACCATCAACGTTTTACTTTTATAGACGTCTATGAAAAATAGGTTCAAAAGTTAGGTTTTTTTAGATTTATCAGCTTTTTGCACAGAGAAATTTTTCTAGAAGATTCAACTGCAAAATTTTGAAAAATATGTGAGAAGATGCAAAATTTTTCGGTGAATCTTCTAATGTTTTCAAAATTCTTGTGGCATCTGTTTTTGAATTAAGGCAAATGTTTTTCTATTCTCAGTGTGCCGCAGCTCGATAACTCCGCACCCTTCAATATTTTGAATGGTGCTCAAACAAGAAAAATGCTCTCTGAGATTCAGATAGTAGGTTTTGTAGAGAATTCAATTTTCTTTCTTTTGGTATATAAAGGAACTTTTTATTTGAAGAGAAAGTACGAATAATATGCAGTAATATTTAGTCCAGTTTATTATGGCACACCCGTTATAATATTTTGTGTCCATAAGAAGTCGTAACTTTTGATAATTCAATGCACGAAAGTCCTTCAAAGTCTTACTATTTAGCATCACTAAATCCCATTTTGCACGGGCTTTCATTTGGTATAAAATTCATCATATCTCCGATTTAGAATTAGAGCGTTACCCCCCTTGAATAATATTATTTACCACCCTGTATACAAAAACTTATATAAAAAACGACAAAAGATCCCGATTTTCTTTGTTACTCCTCTCACTTTCATCTCGTCGTGCCTCGCACCGCCTGTGATCTTATTCAAATTTTGTATACGGGATTGATTGTGCATTTTCACCGGGATCTTTTCTGATTTTATCCATTTATTAAATTGATCAGATTTTGGATGAAAGGATAATTTATGACGTACGAAAATAAGTTTTTTTTCTTATTCAAAATTTCATCTACTCAAAAAGTTTAAGATCAACTAAATCAGACTGAGTATGTAAAATGTTGCATTTTATATCAATAGACTGAAGACTATTACTCAATGATCCTACATCTTTTAGCTAGAGAAAATTAAGTGTGTAAATCTTTCTTAAGTACTAAAACATACATATTTCCGCTTTTTTTTCATTGCTTTTCAGTTCATTTTATATAGTTTAATGGATAGGGTCTTATATTTTCTGAATCGTTCATCATATATTCAAGAGGATGGGAGACGATCTTATAGTTCGACCATGCTTTTAGTTTTAAATATAAAGTATAATACTGCTATGAGTATATACTAGTAAGTATATACTTTATATTTAAAACTTTATTTCCAACTGCTCATTCAAATAATTTTTTCATCCTTTTAGTCTTTTACTCGATGAACTATAGAGACATTATAAATATGAATTTACTTTGTTTTAGCCGAGTATTTTAACATTAATATTCAATATATTTATTATTAAAAATTCGTTTATAAAGCCCTTAAATAATGAAAAATTAAAATCTCGTTCAAAATCACGTACACGCCGCGTTACCACCATGCTATTAGCATCTAATATCGGTTTTTTAGCACTTGTCTCACCAGCACAAATATTTTACGCATTAACGTTCGATCCTCATTCAATTAAATCCCAAGACAAATATTTTTTTTCCTATATGATCAAAGCCCAAATATATCAATGTTTAATAAACACTTATTATGCTATGAATTTCGTTTTCTGTTTTGCATCATCATCTTTTTTTCGACGTGAAATACAAAAATTTATTAACAGTTCAGATTTAAGACGAAAATCAGAAACATCAAGTGCAAATAATATTATTACCAATAAAAAATTTTATAATAATGATAAAGTTATGGAAACAACAACGATGTTAGGTGAAAATAAATCATGTATGGTTGACGATACGACTGTAGTCACTGATTAAATGAATGGATGGTATTTACTTCTTTATTTTGCGTTGTATCCCTAGTGAGAAACTTACTGGAATCTTGTCACAATCTTGACACGATCTTAGAATAATCTTATTAAGATCTTAGTAACGATTTAGGATTTTTTAATAACATTAATTTATCATTAACTAATAGTATTTGAATATCTAGCCTATGCTGTTGCGATAGAAGTTGGATAGGTTTGAAGAATGAAAAGAAATTTCTTATTTTTGCAAGTCGGATTCTAAACCTTGACTTGTACTGTGCATTCTCCAGAAAGTTGTTGAACGCTTTTGAGAGAGCAAGTACCAGCAAAGTCTGAAAGAAAAATAACAATGGAAAATTTTAGTCATGTTTACGTTGTTATTTATATAAATTTATGAGAGCAAAACAGCAGGATGAATCAAAACAGAGGTG